GAGCCCGCCTGCCCCCCGCACTCGCTCTCCCTCCTCCCTTCCCTTCCTTTACCCCTCGCTCCAAACTGCCCCCTCTCCCCTTGCCCTGTCCCCCTCCCGCTTCCATTTCCCAGTCCCTCCCCCCCCCCACAGTTTCAAAAACCAATCTGTGGTGCTCGGAATCATGGAAACTGACGGTTGCCCAAAAAAGAAAACTCAGAAGCGTCCAGAGATCAATGTTGAGGCGGATGGTGGGCCCAGGGAGAAGACCAGACGAGGACTACATTTCTTGGATACGAAGGGCGACGCGGACAGCAGACCACAGAGCACGGGAAGCAGGTGTAGCGTGTTGGACGGAATCTTTTCTACGGAGCAAGTGGCGTTGGGCTGGAAAGATTGCAAATATGTCGCCAGAGAGGTGGGCAAAAAAGACAACAGATTGGCGTAACCATGATTGGTGGTCAAACCAGTCGCGGGGCATTCTGACTTGCCCTACCCGGTCTCGGCCAGGACGGTTCGTCTGGTGGGAAGATGACATTGTTTCTTTCGGCAAAGACAAAGGTTGGGCATCGTGGAGCGAGATGGCCAAACTACCTGAGACATGGCAAACCCTTGAGGACGAGTACGTTAAACACACGTGGCGTTAATTTCATGTTCATGGCATTCGCATAGTTGCTCTGCTTATCGTCATCGGTCGTCGTCATCGATCTATCTTCATCATTTTGCAGGGAGCATTGGGCTTCTTCGCAGCGGCGTTTGGCTGCATGTAACCGCTTCACACCTGTTGAGAAACCCGGCCTTCCTGGAGGCCAGCGCGTTTGGCGCGCCTGCCACCCTTGTAGGGTCGCCGGACTACCGGCGACGGCAGTTTCGTTCGTTCGTTCGTTCCCCCCCCCCACACACACGTTCCCTCCCCTTCGACCTTGGACTCCTGTCCTATCCCCGCTGCCACTACTATGGTCGGGAACTTTGGTTCAGGGTGTCACGCCGCCGTTTCTGGCGCGCCGCGCTATCCACGTCCCGGTCCCCGAGCGTCAATGTCCCGAGCATTCCCCAGCCTCCCGCCCCGCGGGGCGGAGCGGCACGCACGCTATCAGCTCGCAGGGCGCGGCGTGTCGCCAGGGCCGCCGCCGCGACATACTCTGAGCAGAAGTTCCTGACCGTATCCCGTCCCATCCTCTCGCCTTGTGGCGCCTCCCTGTGCGGAGGGGGAGGGGGGCGGTCGGCTGGGGGATCCCCCCTCTCGGGACCCCTCGCTAGTACTACTCTGCGCCCCGATTGTAGTCTTCCATCCGCCCGCCACGACCTCCCATTCTCAGCCCTGGGGAGTGTAGGGAGGGGGAGAGGGTGGGGGGGGAAGGGAGAGGTGGGGGGGAGGGAGGGGGCGGGGGAGGGGGGAGGGGGGAGGGGGTGGGCCAAGCTAGGTGCGCTCGCATTATGTCTGGCGTCCTACCCCTCCCTCCCATCCCTTACCATGGCAAAGATATCTTCTCGATTTGCACAGTCGGATGTCGAGCAGGGCAATGATTGCGAGAGGGTACGCGATGCATGGTAGAGCATGGCAAGGCATGGCGTAGAAGAGCACGGCAGAGCGTAGCATGCCATAGCATGGCGTGGCATTGCGCAGTGAAGCATTCCATCACAAAGAATTGCAACGCAAAGCATGACATCGAACAGCGGCGCAGAACACAACACCCCACAGCATGTCATGGCATGGCGCCAGGTTCCTTGGAGGGTAAGTGTATCGTCTTCGAGAGGTCTGGGCCGGTCTGGAGTCGTGGTTCCGTGTCTAGCTCCTTGGGTTCCCCGAAAAGCTCCACACAAGGCTGGGCTGATGGAGAGCACCCGCTGGCTGTGCTTTCAACATCGCCTTCGGGGCTCCCGCTTGATACTTCCTGAAAACGACGACGCCCCAAAATTGGGGGGGGGGCTTCTGCGGCCCAAAGAATCAACGAATCGGCACCGAACGTGTAATCACTTCGGATAGTTTTTTCGGGGGGGCATTTTTTAGATTTTGCTGCCGATTTGGAAGGACCCGAAACGCCCGCGCTGCAGCGGGAGCACGATCTGGAACAACCAGAGGCGGCGCAGAAATGGGGCCACCGGTTCTGCGGGAGCAACTTTTTGAAAAAAAAAAAAAAAAAAAAAAAAAAAAAAAAAAAAAAAAAAAAAAAAAAAAAAAAAACAGCGAAAACCTAGTTCCCGGGAATCCTGCGTGTAAGAAACAATACGCGGATGGGGGCGGATATCTTCAAGACGTCCTCAGGGGAGAGGGGAGAGTGTTATTTATATTGTGCAATTGTCGAGAGGGGGGAATGGTGGGGGTTGGGGAGGGAGTGGGGGGGGGTAGGTGGGAGGAGTGGGTGGGCGAGGAGACTAAGGGAAAAATGGGCAGAGTCTGAGGAGGTGGGGGGGGGCGGACGGGATTAGACGGGAAATGGCGTGGGACGCGGAAAAAAAGGAGCGGGGACGGGAGCTGGTGAAGGGGACGGTATGAACGACACGTTGGTTTCTAGCGGATTTTTCTGGCCTTCTCAGCCCTTCCTCGTCCCTTTCTCCTCCTTCCCTCTCCCTCTTCCCTTCTCTCTCATCCTTCCTACTCGCTCCTCCTTCTCCCTTCCTCCTCCCTCCTTGCTTTGTTCTCCTCCCTCCATTCCTTGTCCTTGCACCTAATTTTTCACTGTCGCACCTCGAGACCAGCTTCAAGGGCGGGCCGGACGTTTCACTTGAGACTTCCTCACCACTTCCGACCCTGAAGATTCAAAATGGACAACAGTTTCATAGATGGAGGGCGGGTCGTTTGCAAAATGTGGCTTTCGCCTTAGCGCCCGTCGTTTTTCAAAAGTTGCAAGAACTGCGCCGATTGAGGGCGATTCCTTTTCAAAGTGTGGTTCTCGCCATAGCGCCACGTACACTCGTATTAAACATTTGCATGAGCGTCACGGATTGAGGGTGGGCTGTTTTCAAAATGTGGTTCTCGCCTTAGCGCCGCGCACATTCGTCTTTAAGCATTTGCAAGAGTTTCACGGGCTGAAGGTGGTTACTTTTCGGAACGCGGTTCTCGTTTTGGCGCTGGGCACATTCGTTTTTCAGATTTTTCAGGGCTTCACGGATTCCCTTGATCAGCGTACCAGAAATCGCGTTTTAGAAGGATTCTGGATTATTTGACGGCGCAACAGTTACGTTGATTCGCGGTGCTGAAGTCCCAGGAACGGCGTCCTGGCACGATTCAGGATCGTCAAGACGCAACAGTCAGGTTGATCAGCGGCGATGGAATCCCGAGAACAATGTTTTGGCATGCTTCAGGGTCTTCAAGCGGTTTTCCAAGAAGGCAGTTCCTTCAGTGGAAATGAACCGTTGTAGGGGCCTATCAAGAGGAAGCTTGGAGGGAGGGTTTATCCGTAAGGGTTTCGCCCTCTGCCGCCGGCCCCCTCTCCGTCTGAATTGGATACGTCAGAGCTCTATTGTGATGCGGGGGCGCCAGCTTGAAGGCATCTGGGAGCATCCTGCGAAGACGGCTGGCGATCAGCAAATCACGCTGAGATGTTGGAGTTGTTGTTGAAGGCTTTGCTGCTTTCTTAGGGCGTTTCCCTCTCATTGCGTATTGGGCGCTCTTCTTGGAACGATTGGAAGTTGCATGAGTGCACCTAGGGAACAAATCGCACGGTTGGGACTGTTTTGGGGATCTTTGCGCCCTTCGCTATGTGCGAAGACTCGCGGCTGCGGGAACAGCGTAAAATTTCCATGAGACGGCGGGATCACAGCTTGACTGTGAAGGCCTCATCTGCGCAGAGATGCCTGTGTCTGCCCGTCCCTAGCCGCCGGATAAGGAATTTGAAAGGGTTCAGTCTGCCGCTTGCGCCCACGAAGAGGAAACTTGAAATGGTTCAATCTCCAACCGCGGGGGAAGGAACTTGAAAAGGTTCAGTTTACCGCAGGAGAGTGTTGTCGTGTATTTGTATAGCGTTTCCTTACAGATGGAGTGACAATGTTTTAACGTTGTGCGCTTCTGGCTCCCAGGGGCGTTTTTGGAAGTCCACTTGCGCTGTTCGTAGGGAATTTGTGTAGGGGAAGGAATATATGGAGGTAATGTCAGCTTGCGTTGCGTGTGCGTGTGTGTGTGTGGATGCGTGTGTGTGTGTGTGTTAATTTGGGGCCCCTAACGCCACTGTTTGTTTTGTTGTCGGTGCCTTGCAAATTTGCGTAGGGATTCCGAGGGGCTCGTTCTGCTGATGAGTGTCAAGTTGAATTCTGTCGTGTATGTGTAAAATATTTTCTTACAGTTGGAGTGAACATTTTTTGAGTTTGTGTGCTTCTGGCTCCCAGGGGCGTTGTTGGAGGTTCGGCTGTGCTGCTCGTCGGCATTACTGTTGTAGGACCAGGAGGATAAGGAGGAGGAACGAGGGCGAACAGGATTTGCATGATAAGGACGAGGACCAGGATAATACTAGCTTGCCTCTTGTGTCTTATCAAGGGGTCACTATCGCCAATGTTTTGGGGAGGCGTTCGGTGCTTTGTAAATTTGTTTAAAGATTCGGAGGGGCTCGTTCTGCTGATGCGTATAAAGGTGGGTTTTTGTCATGTGTATACTGTTTTCTTGCAGTTGGAGTGCGTATTTGTTGGCGCGAATGTGGCGTACTTTACGCGGGATCGTGTGGCCTCGGGGGCGCGATGGTGGTGTAATTTACATGGGATCTTAGCCTCGGGGGCGCGAACACGACGTATTTTACCAGGGGTCGTGGCACCGGGGACGCGAACGTGGTGCAATTTGCGCGGGATCGTGGCTTCGGGGGCGCTAATGTGGCGAAACTTGGGCGGGATCGTGGATTCGGGGGCGCGAACGTGGCGTAATCTACATGGGATCGTAGCCCCGGAGGGCGCGACTGTGGCACAATTTACGGAGGATCGTGGCTTCGGGGGCGCGACTGCGGCGTAATTTACGAAGGGTCGTGGCCTCGGGGCGCGAGGCTGCGGCGTAATTGTTACGAGTGATCGTGGCCCCAGAGACGGGAATCTGGATT